CGATTAAATGCTGAAATAACTTTGTTTAACAAAGATTTTTTTCTATTTATCTCGCAGTTTTTGATCGTATAGAGTGTATAAAGTTTTCTCAAGCTAAATTAGTTATTAGTTGCTTCAACAAAATAATGTGAGATTTTTTTCTATAAAATTAAATTAAATTAATGTATGTTTTGGTTATCACGGTTTATGGGAAACTCTTAGACTTACTTTTCACAATAATACGATAATTTTGACATGGTTTTTTCTGCCTAATCACCAAATGATGATTGATTGTGAAAACACAGTTCGAATGATTATCGCTCGTGTTAATAATATTCATTTTACGCAACAACATAGTTTCGAGCAGCAATTGTAAAATAAGTAGTGCCACGATTAAATTTACAATATTGCTAAATAAACTCATTTCTATTATATAATTTTATCTAGACAATGCGTTTCTTATTAAGTAGCAATTTTCAGATAATTTAGTTGTTAAATATTTACCTTATTATTTCATTGTTATTGTGTACCACTTCCCATAAAATTTGTGAATCCCTAGTTTATAAATTTGTTCACTATTTACTCTTTGTTGTCAAGAAATCTACCACAGATTATTGAGTGATCTAGAAGAACCTACGGGTTCATCCGGCGAACGGCTACTTTTATGTTTTCTCGACGTTTCCGTCTGTCTGTCGTCTGTCTCGATTTTTATTGAAATTCAGAATTATCTGATCCATGGTTGTTAAATTTTATATGGATATTGGAAATATTGTGTGGATGGTAAAACGCGCTAATCAAAATTTGTTCAATCTTCTCCACCAACACTCTAATGGCGTCACATCAAAATTATGCGCAGTAACTGTGGTAAATAACATACTCCGCTACTTATTCTTTATGAATCCGCTTTGAGTTCTCCCCCTAGGTTTCCAGATTTTTTTTTAATGTGTCCAGCTCACAACACGAAAGTTGTGGGTTCGATTATCTTTAGCGACATTTTTTTCTTAAACTGTCAGTGGAATTATATTTTTTAATTTATGGGGTTTAGATATTTTCATTTTTTTACTTCCCGAGCGTAAGCTAACGAAGTTTTGTAATCGGATCCATTGGACAACTTTCATATTTTCTCGACGTTTCATGACCCCCAGAATACGAAAACATCGTTCTCCTGTTTCCATCTGTATGTTTGTCTGTCGTCTGTCCGGATTTTTATTAGACAGATAATCTCCGAAACTACTAGACCCATTGATGTCAAATTTTGTATATATATTAGGAATTTCATGTATGCAGATGGTAAACGCCAACTAAATTTTAAAATAACATACTCCTACAGATATAGTTAATGAATCCATGTTGAGTTTTTAACCCACACATCCAGATTTTTGAGAAAAAAATCAAAGTTTGATAATAACATTTTACAATTTAAATTGCAAAATCGAATGCTCTGAAATATTGTAAAGGTTTTAAGGTAATTGTATGCGCGGTGAATCGTTAATCAAAATCATTTCGATTGTGCCCCACCTCCAAAAAATTGATGACGTCTCTTCAAAGTTTTGCCGAATCAGTCCAGTCCAAAAAGGTGCAAAATATAATGAGTCTAACTTGCGATTTATCATATTTTTAGACATATTTATACAGGGTGACTCAAAAAATAAATTGGGAAAATAAAGTTTTATCACTTTTCAAAAAAACTGGATATGTTTTATCGTGACGGGTGTTCAATTGAAAAATCACTCATTTTAATAAACTGTTTCTGTCACATATTCAACCGCTGCAAATCCAACGCCTGCTTTGACTGATTTTTGAATTGAACACTCGTTACTTCAGGGGCGAGGAAAGTTCTGTCAAAATAAAATTTAATCAATTTTTTAATCTACAAGTTATTTTATTATTTATTTCATCGTTAATCAGAATATCGCATTTTTTGTAATTTTGTAGACATTCTTTTTGGTAGCACCCCAATCCATGATTTTTTTAGTTCAAAAATACAAAGTGGACTATTAATGGCCATCATGTTAGATTCCAACAAAATTAAAAATTAACCCCACCCACCCACCCCTCCTCTCTTGTGGCGATGTTTTCTTTCTGAATGTGAACAATGAGGAAGGATTGTAATAGGAACATCCCCCCTGTGAATGGCTACTTTCAAGTTTTCTCGACCTTTCGTACCCCAAGACTATGAAACAGTTGGTGTCCCGTTTTAGTGTACCTCTCTATCGTCTACCGTCTATCGTCTGTGTCGGTTTTTATTAAACAGAGGACCTCCGAAACTACTGGACTGATTGTTGTCAAATTTTGTACGTATTGTAGGAATATCGTGAAGATGATAAAGCGCTAACCAAAATTTGTCTACACGTCCCCGCCAACAATTTGATGCCGCCACCTTAATATTCTCCATAGTAAATGCTATTTAAATATTATAAAATAACATACTCCTGTATTTGTGACTCATGAATCCGTCGTGATTTTACAACAATTTTACATTTTACAACCTAACTTTGAAGCTGTAAAATCTAAAATTGTTGTATTTTTTTGGTCCCACCCCTCTCCTTTTTAATAAGTGATTTTTTTAGTTCAAAAATAATAACAGCCATCGTATTAGAATCCAATAAATTAAAAATTAGCCCCACCCACCCACCCCTCCGCTCTTGTGTCGACTTTTACTTCCCGAGCGTAAAAGATGGGGAAGGATTGTAATAGGAGCCATCCGGTGAATGGCTACTTTCACGTTTTCTCGACCTTTTCTGTCCCTAAAATATGAAACCGTAGGTTTTCCGTTTTCGTTTGCCTCTCTATCGTCTACCCTCTGTCTGCGTCGGTTTTATTAACAGAGGACCTCCGAAACTACGAGACTGATTGTTGTCAAATTTTATACGTATTTTAGGAATATAGTGAAAACGATAAAGCGCTAACAAAAATTTGTCCAAACGTCCCCACCAACAATTTGATGACGTCACCTCAAAATTCTCTATAGTAAATGCTATTTAAATTTTATAAAATAACAAACTGCTGGACTTGTAACTCATGAATCCGTCGTGATTTTACAATTTAACTTTAAAACTGCAAACTTGATAAATCGGCAATCAAAATATTTTTTGTCATTTTCTTGTCTTCTTTTTTGGTCCAAGGGATAAGTGACTTTTTTAGTTCAAAAATAAGATGTGGACTGACTACTAATGGTCGTCATATTCGATTCCACTAAATTAAGTAACAGTTAATTAGATCGTACATAATAAATTTCAGTTAATTTTCTTATCAGTGCTTAATAGTGGATTTTATGAGTTGAACTGCAGAAAGATGGTTGTAAGTTCTCTCATTTTAATCCACCCTTACATTTTTCAATTTTTGATATACTTATATGATTTGACCTGACTTGACCTGCTCTGCTCTTACTGAACTCGACCTGACTTGACCTGATTTAACCTGACCTCACCTGACCTGATCTGACTTGATCTGACAATATAACCTGATCTGACCCGATGTTTTCGAGTTATACGCCATATTTCTTGACGGAAATAAAATACAAAAATGTATATATCTGATAAATATTTTTCAATCAAAATTCAAATCGTCTAATCGGTACCAGAACAAAACTCGATGTATGCTTCATCGTTAAGGTGCCCAAAATCGAAAGTTGCATGAGAAGAACGTTTGTAATTCTAAGATCATGTAAAAAACTGGGAAACCATCTTTATGACGATTTGTTAACAAAAAAAAAATATACAAAGTTTTGCAAGGGTTTCAAATGGTTCGATTTGCGTCACTGTGTTTCCATTATTAGTGTTTACATACGAACATATTTTTTTTGCATAACGCAGTCAAGCTTGTTAGCTTTTGTTTAATTGTATCATTTCAGTGAGATTTCTTTTCGTTCATAATTGATCAAACGTTATTTTCACTGTTCCACATAAAGTAGTTTTTATGCACAGTTGAACATTTGTGATAGAAAAATAATGATAAAATAACTCTGTTGACGTGATTTTAGCTACTTGAGTTATAATGCAGTCTTAGATTTCACAAAAAAAAGTAATGGTTACGCTTTACAAGTTACATTATTCCACAACAATTTCTTGAACATTTATTTTTCCAAACGATGAGCATCAAACGACGCGTTAAAACCAGACACAGTGTCGTACGCTTCAAAAATAAAAGTGTCCATTTCTTCACGTATTCCTCCATTGATATTAGTTTCGTCACTCACGTCTCTTTTTCACTATAAACTTAATCGTTATAGAAACTGAAATCAATTTTTTAGCTTCTTTCACGTCCAGTTGGTTTAAAAGTGCCCAGAATTTTTATTGCTGTTCTGTCTACTTTGAAATGCTTCGAATTCAGTAAATCAATGAAGCCGTTTACAAACCATAAACGTACATATCTGTGTCTGCGTAACAAATCGATGATTGCTGGTTTATAACCCTTTTTGATAATAAATTTCGATTACGTTATCGCGGAAGTACTCGCTTACGCTGGGTAGAACGATTTATTGAAGTTGAAATCGTCAACTTTTATCGACTTTATTTAATTTTTCAGAGATAGTTTCTAATTTGACAAAAATGGCAAAACGTATACAAGCACAAAGAGAACTTACGAAGTCATGAGCTTCATACAGATTTACGGTTATGGGGACGGAAAGCCCTGACCTTGGTTTCCCGACTGTGGCTAAGGTTACGTCAGAAAAGACAAATTAAATATGAATGAAACTTCGATCGACGGTTAAATGAACTGAAGAGGGTGTGCTACCTCGGGAGTGTGCGGTCACTGATCCAATTAAAAAATACCCTCATGTCATACTTATTTCACATCTAAATTTTCGAGAGCGGAACGTAATTAATGGCCGTTTTTCTACTGGGTTATAAATAATTAAATAACAATCAGAAAGATAAATACAGAGAAAAAATATTTATAAATCAAGACAATGAAGCTTTTTTTTGTCACGAATTACACACATTCGTAACGGAAAATTCGGAATATTGGGACTATTAAATTCACAAAAATGAATGGCTAATTTTTTATATATATTTTTTTTAAATCCGAGCTACAAATTTAATTTTAATTCCATCTTTAGCTCGTAACACAAAATCCATAATAAGCACTACGGTCTCTGGAGTATCCACCGGTTCTAAAACAAAGTTAGCTAAAGTTCCACTTATAACTGCTTTCAGCTCCAACATGGCAAATTTTTGACCGATGCAATTTCTAGAACCTGCACTGAAAGGTAAATACGCAAAAGGGTGTCTGCTTTTGGAAGTCTCCGGTGAAAATCTATCAGGGTCAAATTTTTCCGGATTTGGAAAATATTCCGGATTGTGGTGCAAATCATAAATGTGTAAGTGTGTAATTGTCCCTTTAGATAATTTGTAGCCAGTAGCAGTCACTAAATCGTCTCCTAGTTTCCTCGAAATATAAGGAACACTTGGATACATCCTCAGAGCTTCTTTAATAACTCTCTCTAAATATTTCAGTTTTTGAAGATCGTTGAAAGTCGGTTTCTTCCTCAACTCCCCCATGACGTCCACAATTTCGTCAAGGATTAATTCCTGAAAAACCAGTTTACTCGAGGAAGTCTCCCTTCATTGATTTTACTTGGACGTGTTTATTACAAGCTATCAGCATTAACGCAAACCCTAAAACCACCGAAGTGGTGTCGTGTCCTTCGAGCATAAACGTATCCACTTCTTCACGGATTCCCCCGTCATCGATAATTCCCTCCACATTTTTGGCAGTTAAAAGCAAATCCAACATTGCAAGTCGTCTTTTTCCGTGAAGATCAAAATTTTTGATTTTTTTTTCTCGGTCAGTTATGACACTGCGAGTGAAGGCGTGCAAGGTCTTGATTGTTTTTCTCTCTTTGAAATATTTCGGGCTAAACAAATTGACAAAGTTGTTGACGAACCAAGGACGTGTCATTCGATAAGCCAGAATGTCCGCCATATCTATGACCGCTTGTCTGTAGCTTCTTTCTTTCTGAGTGGCAAATTTCAGGTCTGTTCCTATTGCAGTTTCTTCAATTTAAAATAAAGTAAAGTGTTTTTAGGAAAGTCGAATTTTACCTGCCAGAGTTTTCAGTGTAAAATGGGCGATGTGTTTGTCAACAAGAACGTAATCTGGGTGATTGTGTTCTTTCAAGGTTTGTACTAAATTGTCTGTGTGTTTATTAAAAACGTCAACAAACTCTTGCAATATGTTGAAATGGAAAGCCGGGGTTAAAATCTTTCTTCTGATGAACCACTTTTGGCCTAGATAAATATATAGATAAATAGATAAATTAACTAATTTTAGTTATTACCAGTACTAGTAAGAAGACCAGTACCTAACCAAGCATGGAAAACGTTATAGACTTCACTTTTTTCCATATGTTGTGAATTTGATAGGACGATCTATTAAAATAAAAATATTTGAGCTCAACTTTTACCCTTTTTCAGATTACCTCAAAATCATCCGGATGTAATATACACGGCACACCCAAGTGAAGAACCGTCAGTCTGTAAATAGGATAATACAAATTTGCCTATGTTCGATATTTTTTAAAAATCTCCTCTAAAATTGTTTATTATTAAATAAGTATTTAAAGTGTAATTATAACTTATACCTGGTGATGTGAACAGATGGGCGATGCTACCAACAACAACATTTTTAGCATTAGGTCCGGTAATTTTACTAAGTTGTTTACGATGACTCAATATTTCGTTAATTTTTGCTAAAAAGTAGAAGCTTATTGCGAGGGAACAAAATGCTACTACACTCAATACAATCATGTCTGTAATACTATTAACGCATACTGTATTTATAAACTTATCGAAACATGTCAAAGTGCATAATTCTTATCATGTTTTTACAAGTTGCAATCTTACAGTGACAAAAATAGGATACATTTTTAAATCCTTTTACGTTGTAGTAAAATTTCCGAGAATGGGGGCATAAATTGGTGAAATCGATGATATTGTATAAATTTTACAAGTTTAGAGAAAATTTGAGTATCGAAACGTTTCTCATTAAACATTTACACTTGAAATCACCACAAGTTTAATTTTTATGCGAATGAAATCCTCCTTGGATTCGTTTCCAAAACGTCATATCGACGAACGAACTGTGGTATCCACGTTTTTTACAATTTATCTAATCTATTCATTTTTTATTTAGGAACAATCAGAGTTATGTCAAATTTCATTTTTTCTGTTGGGTTATCGAGAGACATTACTTGTAGGTAAACGAAGAAAAATGTTGCTTCTCCGGTGGAAATTGAACCACACGTTTACCGCTTGCCGAGCGGGTGCCCTGACCACTAGACTACGGAGGAGCTTATCTTTCTCCGCTTACCAACGTGTTACTGTGCCGCTACAAACTGATACTTACATTAATAAAAAAATATTAAATTTACGTTAAACAAAATGGATTAATTTTTATGTAAATTTATTTTTATAACTCTAAAAAAATATTGATTAATCCATAAAAATCATTGCAAAATCATAACTTTAAGTAAGTCTTAGAGTAATTTATGGGGGTCTAGAGACAACTAAAATTTTTCAAGAGCGAGTAGATTATTATATTTATTTATTCATAAAAACAGATATGTATTTAAAAAAATAATAAAAAACTTCCACCACTTGATTACATTCAAAATCTAGGTATAAATTTGACTTTAATCTCATCTTTAGATCTTAATACAACATCCACTATAAGAGTTATCGTGTCAGGAGTATCCACCGGTTCTAGGACATATTTAGACAATATTCCAGATAAGGCCGCTTTAAGTTCCAACAAGGCAAACTTTTGTCCAATACAATTCCTAGGTCCAGCACTAAAAGGTACATAAGCAAAAGGAAGCCTGTTTTTGATATTGTCGGGTAAAAATCTGTCAGGATCAAACTTTTCTGGATCTGGATAGAATTCGGGATTGTGATGCAAATCGTAAATATGCAAATGGACTATCGTATCTTTAGGTATCTTATATCCTGTAGCAGTAACTAATTCTTCTCCGAGTTTTCTAGAAATAAAAGGGACACTTGGATACAACCTCAAAACTTCCTTCAAAACTCGTTCTAAGTATTTCAATTGTTGAAGATCATTGAAGGTTGGCTTTTTATGTAGATCTCCTGTTACAGCCTCAATTTCTGCAACGATTAAATCCTAGAAAAAACAAAGCGGGCTATTTTTGAATTTTAAGTTAGCTAGCTATTTGAGAAACATTACTTGGACATTTTTGTGGCACGCTATAAGCATCAACGAAAAACTTAAAGCTGCAGCAGTGGTATCATGACCTTCGAACATAAAGGTATCTACTTCTTCGCATATTCCTTTATCATCGATACTCCTATCTTCGTTTTTAGCCGTTAAAAGCAAATCCAACATAGCCAGTCGTTTTCTTCCTTTGTAAACTTCATGGTTATCAGGACTGTAGTGAAAATTTTCAATTGCTTGTGTCCGTTCTGCTATGATATTACGGGTGAAATCATGCAAGGTTTTAATAGCCTTCTTCTCTTTCAAATATTTCGAACTAAATAAATTTACAAAATCCTTTACAAAATAGGGACATAGCATTCTATGAGCTACTATTTTTCCCATGTCTATGGTTGCCTGTCTATATTCTATTTCCTTTTGTTTGAAAAATTTCAACTTTGTTCCCATTGCAGTTTCTGTAATTTAGAAAATATTAAAAAAAAACGCCAGATAAAATTCTACCTGCTATAGTTTTCAGTGTAAACTGTGCAACATGGTTGTCAACACAAACGTAAACTTGGTCTCCAAAATTTCCAAAAGTTTTCACTAAATCATCCGTCTGTTTATTAAATACGTCAAGGAATTGTTGCAAAATGTTAAAATGAAACGCTGGAGTTAAAATTCTTCTCCTGGTCTGCCACTTTTCTCCTAAATTTTAATAATAATAATTACTTAAATAAAATAAATTTCTTTCAAGCATTTACTTACCTCTACTAGTGAGCAGACCAGTACCTAACCAATTATGTAAAACGTCATAAACGATACTTTTTTCCATATGTTTGGGATTGGAAAGTATGAGCTATAACAAAAACGATACTACGCTTTTAACAATTGTTTAAATTACCTCAAAATCATCTGGATGCAATATATTCGGGACAACGTAGTGAAGAAAGGTAATATTATAAATAGGATAGTACAGTTTTGCCCATTCTCGAAACGTCTTGAACGAGACATCTAAAAAATTGCTTTCATTTAAAACGTTAAATAGAAGAAAAAATGCCTGCCAAGTGAAGTCCATAATTGAGCACAGCTTCCACCCAGGATATTTTTAGCTTCTGGACCAGGAATTTTTATCAGTTCTCTACGATCTTGTAATAATTGTTTAATTTTTACCAGAAAGAAGAGGACTGCGACAATAAAGAATAAATATAACATTACATTTAAGACAAACATATCACTGATAAACGCGTCAACAACACATCAATTAAATTAATTTTTGCAATTACTCTTTTTATATACAATTTAACTATGTAGATATGGGGACACATGATTACTTATCGAAAAAAACAATATTAACGACTGCACTTTCAACAATAATTATACTATTCGCACTAAAGTTATGTAGTTAGGTTATTATATTCAGTGACATGGAAATCAGAACACCCAGTAATAGTAACCATATTTTAATAGTTCTTGATATATGTGGTTATTACGGCAATAGGAGTAAACGATCACAATTTGAAGTGATTCAAAAACATAAATTTTCGAAAAATTCAGTTTGAAATTAAATTTTTCAAATATACATCATGAAAATTGTCATTTTTCATTCTATCAGTTCTGGAAAAATTATTGGAATTTTTGAAGATATGAAGCCAAAGTTGTAATCTACAAGAACCAATTGAAATCTACAAGACATTTTTTTGAGTAATAAAAAATAATAACGGTGAAAAAATTTGTAGGGTGGAGAAGGATATTGAAAATTTGAGCTTTTTGCAAAGTTGCTTAAAAATACAGAAAAAAATGTTGCTTGGTTTGATACTGAGTTTTTTTGCCTCGAAAATAACTTCCAAAAATCTAAATTCATAAAAAATGCCCTTGGCTAATTTTCGAAGTGTTCGAAGGAAAAAAAAACTGTTGTAATTTTTCATTTTTTTGGTAGTTTCGGAGATTATCTTAATTATCATAGCAGATACTAGCCCCGCCGACTTATACTTTGAGGGTGTGTCATTTGCCAAAATCAGTCTTATCTTAGCAAGTAGCTGCTAGCCTCGCCCACCCACCCTTTACTTTTGTGGAGAATGTCATTTGCCACAATCAGTCTTATCTAACAGTATTATTTTCTGAAACAACTGTTCAAATATTAATTAGAAACCTATCTGTAGCAAAATAGAAATTATCTAGTATATTCCTTGGGACTTTTTCACCAAACTCTTAAAATAATAAGCATTCACGTTCGGTAGAAGTAGCTGACAGAAATTTTTCTGTGGTTAAGTTGCAATCTTAAGATCACTAGAAATTAAAGATTGGTATCAACTGTCTAATTTTCTAATTCAAATGTCAAATCTGAATTGTCTGGAAAAAAACGAAGTGCGTGGAAACAATTTCCACAAAAGTAGTCACGAGAAAGCACATTTTAAAGGAAAAGAAACAAGAAATATTTCGTGGTTTTGAAGAAACTACTGGGAAAAATAGACAATGCTTTGGTAAAACGGAAACAGTTAAACTGGTGGCAGAAATATTTTCCGTAAAGTTCGCTAGTGTTCTCGAGTGTTTTTCTAATTTTAAAATAATACCGATACAACGGCGTCGGTGCCGTTAATATTATACTCAGAATCAGAAAGACGACTGCCCAGATTTATATACCTACATGCTTTGTTGGGTCCGCTCTACAATTGGTTTTTTAGTTTTATATAATCGTTATTGTTTTGTAAAAGGGAAAATACTCGGCTTGGAGAATAATTGTACGTAATACGTACACGTATAAATTTAGGTTTCCGAAGGCGAAGGTTTTCACATTAAATAGGTATCAGAATCAAATTTCTAAAGCGGTATCTCTAATTGCGTGATAGTGGTGAAGATTTACTTTTCATTTTCTTGGATGAGACATGGATATACCAAAACGGATCCATGGTGAAATTGCGGGTCCATGATGATGACATCAAAGCTTGTCCTCCTAAAATAACTAGTGAAGGGAAAAGATTCACAATTTTACATGCGGGTTGCTCTTTGGGCTTTTAGAGGGATGCAATTTTCTCCTGGATTCAAAAGTAGATTCAGCAGATCACCACAAAACCATCACATTTTCGATATTTGCCATTTACTTACTTACATGTCACATTTTTGATACCTACTTTCTGACATTCCAGTTATACATTATACACTAGAACAATTATGTCCGCAGTTACACAGCTTAAAAAAAAAGTTACCAAATCTAGTTACATCTACCGAACGTGAATTCCTTTACTTGGAATTTTGTTTTAAAAAGATGGTGGTTTTCGACCATAATGACAACATCATAATGTACTTTTGTACTACTGAATTATAATTTCCTCCAATGACTTACGATTTGTAAGTCTATATATATCACAAATTTGTCATCGTACCTAACAATAATAATTGTGGAGTTACTTTTGATATCCTAAGAAAAGGATAAATTTAACGAAGACTTGAAATAATTTGCGAGAGTCTAGAGAACATTTCAATTCTTCAAGTGCTAGTGTATTATATTTTACTAAGTAAAACCACAGAATTGGGTACATTTTTTTAGAAATATTTTCATTGCTTAATTAGAATTTGTAATTTTTATTTAAAATCTCTGAAGAAATTTCACTTTGTTCTTGTCTCTAGTTCTCAGTACAACATCCACTACTAGAGTTATCGTGTCAAGAGTATCCACCGATTCATGAACATATTTAGAGAATTGCCCACAATATTTTCCTTACTCAAAATATATTAAAATAACCTTAATAAAATGAATTAGTTTTTATATGACAAATTTATATTCTAATTTTGAAAATATATTGGTTTTTCCAAAAAGATTACTACACAAAAATTTCCTTCCTTTCTCAATTCTAACTCTACTTAAAATGAGAAATACATAGTGAGAAATAGAATCCATTGTCTTTTTTATTTCTTAAAAAACGATAATTTTAAATAAGCCTTAAAGTAATTTACGGGGGTATAAATAAAATTTCAGTTTTTCAAGAGTGACTATTTATTTAATCAGTAAAAACAGACATTTAGAAACAATTTTCACATTTACATTGTTTAGAATGAACTTCAACCACCATATGACAACAATCAATAAAAATATATTATTCCGAAAATCTTTCCGACAGTGTTTTCCCAATCTTTTTTAATTTTAGATAAATTTAAAACATGTTTTCACTGCTTTATTAAAAACTGTAAATTAAAACCTTTCATTTAAAATCTAGGTAGAAATTTTACTTTAATCTCATCTTTAGTTCTTAATACAATATCCATTACAAGAGTTATCGTGTCAGGAGTGTCCACCGGTTCTAGAACATATTTGGACAATATTTCACACAAAGCCGCTTTAAGTTCCAACATAGCAAACTTCTGTCCGATACAATTCCTAGGTCCAGCACTAAAAGGTACATAAGCAAACGGATGCCTGTTTTTGGTATTCTCTGGTAAGAATCTGTCAGGATCAAACTTTTCAGGATCTGGATAGAATTCGGGATTGTGATGCAAATCGTAAATATGTAAGTAGACAAACGTATTTTTAGGTATCTTATATCCTGTAGCAGTAACTAACTCTTCTCCGAGTTTTCTAAAAATTAGGGTAACAGTTGGATACAACCTCAAAACTTCCTTTAAAACTCGTTCCATGTATTTCATTTGTTGAAGATCGTTAAAGGTAGGTTTTTTACCTAACTCGCCTATTACGTCCTTAATTTCTTCAACGATTGAATCCTAGAAAAAAAACCTTTGATACAAAGAGTGATTCATTAAATTTTTGAATTTAAGTTTCAGAAACAGCTACTTTGGAAAAATTACTTGAACATTTTTGTGGCATGCTATAAGCATTAACGAAAAACTTAAAGCTGTGGCAGTGGTATCGTGACCTCCGAACATAAAGGTATCTACTTCTTCACATATTCCTTTATCATCGATACACTTTTCTTCGTTTTTAGCCGTTAAAAGCAAATCCAACATAGCCAATCGTTTTCTTCCCTTGTAAACTTCATGATTATCAGAGCTGTAGTGGATTTTTTCAATCGCTTTGGTCCGTTTTGCTATGATACGCGTGAAACGATGCAAGGTTTTAATGACTTTCTTCTCTTTCAAATATTTCGGACTAAATAAATTTACAAAATCGTTTATAAACCAAGAATGAAACATTCTATAAACTACAATTTTTCCCATGTCTATGGTTGCCTGTCTGTATTCTATTTCCTTTTCTTTAAAAAAGTTCAATTTTGTTCCCATTGCAGTTTCTGTAATTTAGCGAATATTAAAAAAAAATACCAGATGGAATTTTACCTGCTATAATTTTCAGTGTTAACTGCCCAACATGGCTGTCAACACAAACGTAGACTTGGTCTCTCAAATTCCCTAAAATTTTCACTAAATCGTCCGTCTGCTTATTAAACACGTCAACGAATTTTTGCAAAATGTTAAAATGAAACGCTGGAGTTAAAATTGTTCTCCTGTTGTGCCATTTTTCTTCTAAATTTTAATAATAATTGCTTGACACAAATAAATTTCTTCCAAGCATTTACTCACCGCTACTCGTGAAGAGACCAGTACCTAACCAGCTATGAAAAACGTTATAAACTATGCCTTTTTCCGTATGTTTAGGATTGGAAAGTATGAGCTATAACAAAAATGATACAACGCTTTTAACAATTGTTTAAATTACCTCAAAATCAACTGGATGTAATATATTCGGAGCAACATAGTGAAGAAACGTAAAACTATAAATAGGGTAGTACAGTTTTGCCCTTTCTCGAAATGTCTTGAACGTAACATCTGAAATTCCTTTCACTTAAAATGTAAAATAGAGGAAAAAATGTTTACCTGTTGAAGTCCTTAATTGAGCACAGCTGCCACTGAGAATATTTTTAGCTTGAGGACCAGGAATATTTAGCAGTACTTTGCGATCTTGTAATAAATGTTCAATTTTTACAAGAAAGTACAGGAGTACGATAATCAAGAATAAATATAGCACTACATTTAAGACAAACATATCACTGTTTAAAATGCAGTATATATACAAAATGTTCTTGAACAATGTCAACAACATCTCAATTAAATTAATTTATGCAGTTATTGTTTTTTCATACTATTTAAATATTCAGATATGAAGAAACCTGATTTCAAGGAAATAATATTAACAACTGTACTTAAAAAATAACCACTACCATTCGCAATAAATTTATGTTGTATCTAATATTAATTCGACAGCCATCTGACGATATAATAGTACTATTTACTGAAACTGTTCAAATGTGTATTAGATACATTTCTACACCAAAAAGAAAATAAGTATATTTATTAGGCCTTTTGGAGCAAATCTTTGAAATATTTGAAAAAAATTTTTAAACATGGTGGTACCGTTTCCGATGATAATAACAACATGACTATATTAATGTACTTCAATATTAGGTACTGAATTCTAATTTTCTATAATACCTAATTTGTTATTGTACTTTATAACAGTAATTGTGGAGTCATTTTTTATTTCCAAAGAAAATAATAAATTTAAGTAACCTTTGAAGTAATTTACGAGGGTCTAGAGAACATTTCAGTTTTTCATTTTATTAAGTAAAACCAAAAATTTGATACAATTTTCAGCAATATTTTTACTGCTTAATTAGAATTTGTAATTTTTGATGAAAATCTCCGAAGAAATTTCATTTTGATCTTGTTTTTACTTCTTAGTACAACATCCATTACTAAAGTTATCGTGTCAGGAGTATTCACCGGTTCTAGCACATATTTAGACAACATTCCACACAAAGCTCCTGTTACAGTCGTAATTTCTTCAACGATTAAATCCTAAAAAAGCATTTGATACAAAAATGTGATTTTTTAACTTGAAAAATTACTTGGAAGGTTTCAATAAGCTTCTTCTTTTTAAAATACTTTGTACTAAATAAATTTACAAAATCGTTTACAACCCAAGAATTTAAAATTCCATAAATTTGTGCTTGCCCCATATCTACGAGTATAATTGCATGTCGGAACTAAATCAAACTTCATTTTTTCTGTTGGATCGTCAAGAGAAATAACAAATATTTTTTTTTATTTATATTACAATTTTGAAAAATATTGATTAATTTTTTTATTTCTTAAGAAAACGATAACTTTAAATAAGCCTCAAAGTAATTTAGGGGGTTCTAGAAAAATATTCAGTTTTGCAAGTGTGGGTAGATTATATTTATTTATTAAGAAAAAACAGATATTTACATACAATTTTTACACTTACATTGGCTAGAATGAACGTCAACCAACCGCCACAATACGACAACAATCAGTAAAAATATAATATTCTGAAAACTTTCCAAATTAATTTTCTCAATCTTTTTTAAATTTAGAACATATTTTCACTTCATTATTAGAAAATCTCAAATCATTATTTTTATAAGTTTTTTATTTACCACAAAATACGTGTTAAATTTTGAAAAACTCTTTCATTTAAAATCTAGGTAAAAATTTGACTTTAATTTCGTCTTTAGTTCTTAGTACAACATCCACTACAACAGTTATCGTGTCAGGAGTATCCACCGGTTCTAGAACATATTTAGACAATATTCCACATAAGGCCGCTTTAAGTTCCAACATGGCAAACCTCTGTCCGATGCAGTTTCTAGGTCCAGCGCTAAAAGGTAAATAAGCAAAAGGATATCTGTTTTTTGCAATCTCTGGTAAAAATCTGTCAGGATCAAACGTTTCAGGATCTGGATAGAATTCGGGATTGTGATGCAAATCGTAAATATGCAAATGGACCATCGTATCTTTAGGTATCTTATATCCAGTAGCAGTAACTAATTCTTCTCCAAGTTTTCTAGAAATGAAGGAGACACTTGGGTACAACTTCAAAACTTCCTTCAAAACTCGTTCTAAGTATTTCATTTGTTGAAGATCATTAAAGGTTGGTTTATTATGTAGATCTCCCGCTACAGCCTCAATTTCTGCAACGATTAAATCCTAGAAAAAACAAACCGGGTTATTTTTTAATTTTAAGGTATTTGAGAAACATTACTTGGACATTTTTGTGGCACGCTATAAGCATCAACGAAAAACTTAAAGCTGCAGCAGTGGTATCATGACCTTCGAACATAAAGGTACTTCTTCACATATTCCTTTATCATCAATACTCCTATCTTCGTTTTTAGCCGTTCAAAGCAAATCCAACATAGCCAATCGTTTTCTTCCTTTGTAAACTTCATGATTATCAGGACTGTAGTGAAATTTTTCAATTGCTTGTGTCCGTTCTGCTATGATACGCGTGAAATCAACCAAGGTTTTAATAGCCTTCTTCTCTTTCAAATATTTCGAACTAAATAAATTTACAAAATCGTTAACAATGTAGGGACATAACATTCTATGAGCTACTATTTTTCCCACGTCTATGGTTGCCTGTCTATATTCTATTTCCTTTTGTTTGAAAAATTTCAACTTTGTTCCCATTGCAGTTTCTGTAATTTAGTAAATATTAAAAAAAAACGCCAGATAAAATTCTAGCTGCTATAGTTTTCAGTGTAAACTGTGCAACATGGTTGTCAACACAAACGTAAACTTGGTCTCCAAAATTTACAAAAGTTTTCACTAAATCATCCGTTTGTTTATTAAATACGTCAACGAATTGTTGCAAAATGTTAAAATGAAACGCTGGAGTTAAAATTTTTCTCCTGTTCAGCCACTTTTTTCCTGAATTTTAATAATAATAATTACTTAAATAAAATAAATCTCTTTCAAGCATTTACTTACCTCTACTAGTGAGCAGACCAGTACCTAACCAATTATGAAAAACGTTATAAAAGATGCTTTTTTCCATATGTTGTGGATTAGAAAGTATGAGCTATAACAAAAATGATATTTCATTTTTAACAATTGTTTAAATTACCTCAAAATCAGCTGGATGTAATATATTCGGGACAACGTAGTGAAGAAACGTAACATGATAAATAGGATAATACAATTTTGCCCATTCTCGAAACGTCTTGAACGAAACATCTAAAAAATTCCTTTCATTTAAAACCTCAAATAATAGAAAAATTGTTTACCAGCTGAAGTCCATAATTGAGCACAGCTTCCACCCAGGATATTTTTAGCTTCTGGACCAGGAATTCTTATCAGTTCTCTACGATCTTGTAATAATTGTTTAATTGTTACCAGAAAGAAGAGGACTACGATAATAAAGAATAAATATAACACTACATTTAAGACAAACATATCACTGATTAAAATTAAGCAAATAAAATGTTCTTTATCATATGTGCCAAGTACGATTTGCACTGCAAGATTAATAGCGTCAACAACACATCAATTAAATTAATTTATGCAATTACTACTTTTACATACAATTTAACTATGTAGATAAGGAAACAAATGATTACTTATCGAAAAAAAAACAATATTAACGACTGCACTTTCAACAATCATTACTATTCGCACTAAAGTTAGTATAGTTGGGTTATTATACTCAGTGACATGGAAATCAGAACACCCAGTAATAGTAACCATATTTTAATAGTTCTTGATATATGTGGTTATTACGGCAATAGGAGTAAACGATCACAATTTGAAGTGATTCAAAAACATAAATTTTCGAAAAATTCAGTTTGAAATGAAATTTTTCAAATATACGTCTTGAAAATTGTCACTTTTCATTTTATGAGTTCTGGAAAAATTATTGGAATTTTTGAAAATATGAAGCGTAATCTACAAGAACTAGTTGAAATCTACAAGAACATGATTTTGAGTAATTTCCGATTCACGCTCGAAAAACGGTGAAAAAATTTGTACGGTGGAGAAGCGTATTGAAAATTTGAGATTTTTGGAAAGTTGCTTAAAAATACAGAAAAACATTTTGGAATATAAATCTCGACAGCTTAGTTTGATACTGAGTTTTTTTGCCTCGAAAAAAACTTCTACAAATCTAAATCGAAGTGTTCGAAGAAAAAAAAACTGTTTTATTTTAATTATTTTTTCGGTAGTTTGGGAGATTATCTTAATAATTACCGTAGCAGATACTAAGGTGTGTCATTTGCCAAAATCAGGCTTATCTTTGTAAATATCTGCCAGCCCCGCCCACCCCCCCTTTACTTTTGTGGAGAGCATGTCATTTGCTAAAATTAATCTTATCTACTACGGATATGGCAGAAAAACGGATCATTTACTTAAAGCTTATTATTAAAATATTTTTTCTATTACTGGGTGTTCCGATTTCCATGTCATAGAGCATAATTCACCAAACATCTGACGATATAACAGTACTATTTTCTGAAACAACTGTTCAAATATTAATTAGAAACCTATCTGTAGCAAATTAGAAATTATCTAGTATATTCATTGGGACTTTTCTACCAAATTTTTGAAATATGTATTTGGAATTTTGTTCCTGAAAGATGATGATACAACTATTTTGGACCATAATGACACAACATACTAATGTACTTTTGTACTATTTACATCGTAATTTACAATAATAATTGTGGAGTCATTTTTTATTTCCTAAGAAAAGAATAAATTTCAGTAAGACTCGAAGTATTTTACGAAGGTCTAGAACACATTTCAATTTTTCAGGTACCAGTGGATTATATTTTACTAAGTAAAATCAAAAATTGGATAAAATTGTCAGCAATATTTTCGCTACAAAATTATAATTTGTAATTTTTTATGAAAATCTCGGAAGAAATTTCATTTTATCTTGTCTTTAGTTCTTGGCACAACATCCACTACTAGAGTTATCGTGTCAGGTGTATCTACCGGTTCTAGAACATATTTTGACAATATTCCACACAAAGCTGCTTTAAGTTCCAATATAGCAAACTTCTGTCCAATACAGTTCCTAGGTCCAGCACTAAAAGGTACATACGCAAAAGGATGTCTATCTTTTGCATTCTCTGGTAAAAATCTATCAGAATCAAATTTTTCAGGATCTGGACAGAATCCAGGATTTTGATGTAAATCATAAATTTCTAAAATTTGTAAGTAGACAAATGTATCTTTAGGTATTCTATAATACGTAACGGTTTTACAGGGTCGGACAGGCCCGCCCGGCTATCCGGCGATCCTGAGCTTTTAGGGGCCCTAAAGAATCACTCTAAAAACTAATTTTATTATTTAAATTCGATTTAATTTTGTTCCACGGCATTTTTGCTGTTAACTTCGTCATTCAGTACATACTACATTCTGGTTTTGAGTTCTTTGAGGTATAATTAAACTTTCATCATCAGTCAAAAAATTCAAAGTGGTGTCCAGAAGAGAAAATTTAAAATTCAGAAAAAACAAAAATTTATAGACATTTTAAAGAAAGTGCGAAAATTTAGAGACATTTTTAATTTCTGAGAAACTTAAGAAACAAAAATTTTGACAACTAGAATACATTGTACTTTTTTTATTTCTTAAGAAAACAATAACTTTAAATAAGCCTCAAAATAATTTACGGGGGTCTAAAAAAAAATTCAATTTTTCAAGTGTGGGTAGAATATATTTATATAATCAGTAAAAACAGACATTTAGATATAATTTTCACACTTACATTGGCTAGAATGAACTTCAACCAACCGCCACAATACGGCAACTATCAGCAAAAATATAATATTCTGAAAACTTTCCGACTTTATTTTCTCAATCTTTTTTAATTGCATATAAATTTAGAACATATTTTCACTGCATTATTAGAAAACATCAAATTTTTATTTTTATAAGTTTTTTATTTACAACAAAATACCAGCTAAATTTTGAAAAACCCTTTCATTTAAAATCTAGGTAAAAATTTTACCTTAATCTCGTCTTTAGTCCTTAGTACAACATCCATTAAAAGAGTTATGGTGTCAGGAGTATCCACTGGTTCTAAGACGTATTTAGACAATATTCCATACAAAGCCGCTTTAAGTTCCAACATAGGAAACTTTTGTCCAATACAGTTCCTAGCTCCAGCACTAAAAGGTAAATAAGCAAAAGGATGTCTGTTTTTGGTATTCTCTGGTAAGAATCTGTCAGGATCAAACTTTTCAGGATCTGGATAGAATACGGGATTGTGATGCAAATCGTAAATATGCAAGTGGACCATCGTATCTTTGGGTATATTATATCCTGTAGCAGTAACTAATTCTTCTCCGAGTTTTCTAGAAATCACGGCAACACTTGGATACAACCTCAACACTTCCTTTAAAACTCGTTCTAAGTATTTCATTTGTTGAAGATCATTAAAGGTTGGTTTTTTATCTGAATCTCCTGTTACAGCCTCAATTTCTTCAAGGATTAAATCCTACAAAAACCTTTGATACAAAGAGTGATTCATTAAATTAATGAACTTTAGTTTCGGAAAGAGCTATTTTAGAAAAATTACTTGGACATTTTTGTGGCACGCTACAAGCATCAACGAAAAACTTAAAGCTGCAGCAGTGGTATCGTGACCTTCGAACATAAAGGTATCGACTTCTTCACATATTCCCTTATCATCGAGACTCTTTTCTTCGCTTTTGGCCCTTAAAAGCAAATCCAACATTGCCAGTCGTTTTCTTCCCTTATTAACTTCATGATTGTCAGATCTGTTGTGGAGTTTTTCAGTTGCTTGTGTCCGTTCTGCTATGATATTACTGGTAAAATCATGCAAAGTTTTAATAACCTTCTTCTCTTTAACATATTTCGGACTAAATAAATTTACAAAATCGATTATAAACCAGGGATGTAACATTCTATAAGCTACTATATTTCCCATATCTATCGTTGCCTGTCTGTATTCTATTTCCTTTTGTTGAAAAATTTCCCCTTTCCCATTGCAGTTTCTGTAATTTAGCAAATTAAAAAAAAATAAAAAAAAATATAAAATTTTACCTGCTAAAGTTTTCAGTGTAAATTGTGCAATATGGTTGTCAACACAAACGTTAACTTGGTTTCCCAAATCCCCAAAAGTTTTCACTAAATCATCCGTCTGCTTATTAAATATTTCAACGAATTGTTGTAAAATGTTAAAATGAAATGCTGGGGTTAAAATTCTTCTTCTGTTCAGCCACTTTTCTCCTAAGTTTTAGTAATAACAGTTACTTAACTCAGATAAATTTCTTTCAAGCACTTACTTACCGGTACTCGTGGGCAGACCAGTACCTAACCAGTTATGGAAAACGCCATAAACGACACTTTTTTCAATATGTTTGGGATTGGAAAGTATGCGCTATAACAAAAATGATACTACTCTTTTAACAATTGTTTAAATTACCTCAAAATCATCTGGATGTAATATATTCGGGATAACGTAGTGAAGAAACGTAAAAGTATAAATAGGGTAGTATAATTTTGCCCATTCTCGAAACGTCTTGAACGTAACATCTAAAAATTCCTTTCACTTAAAATATAAAATAGAAGAAAAACTGTTTATCTAGTGAAGTCGATAATTGAGTACAGCTTCCACCGAGGATATTCTTAGTTTCTGGGCCAGGAATTTTTATCAGTTCTTTGCGATCTTGTAATAATTGTTTAATTTTTACCAGAAAGTAGAGGACTACGATAATCAGGAATAAATATAGCACTGCTTTTAGGACAGACATATCACTGTTTATAATTCAGTATTAAAATGTCCTTTAACAATGTCAACAACAGATTATTTAAATTAAATTATGCAGTGATTGTCTCTTTGTACTATCTAAATATGCAGATATGAAGAAACCTGATTAGTTACTCAAGAAAATAATATTAACAACAGCACCTTCAAAAATAACCACTACTATTCGTACAAAATGTATATGTAATACTAATTCAACAACCATCTGACGATATAATAGTTTTATATTTACTTAAACTGTTCAAATGTTTATTAGAAATATTTCTATAGCAAAATATATTCAATAGAACTTCTTGAGCAAATTTTTGAAATATATGTGACAAAAAATTTTAAACATGGTGACAACATCACTGGCATTAATGCACTTACGTACTACTGAATTCTGGTTTCCTACAGTACCTAACTTGCGATTTGAAAGTCTACATATATCACAAATTTGTTATCTTACTTTGTAAGAATATTGAGGAGTCATTTTTTATATGCAAAGAAAAGGTTAATTTAAGTAAGCCTTGAAGTAAATTACGAGGGTTATATTTTAAGTAAAACCAAATATTTGGATACATTTTTCAAAACCATTTTCACTGCTTAATTACAATTTGTAAGTTTTATTTAAAATCTGGGAAGAAATTTTACTTTGATCTTGTCTTTAGTTCTTAGTACAACATCCACTACTAAAGTTATCGTGTCAGGAGTATCCACCGGTTCTAAAACATATTGAGACAATATTCCACATAAAGCCGCTTTAAGTTCCAACATAGCAAACTTCTGTCCAATACAGTTCCTAGGTCCAGCACTAAAAGGTACATACGCAAAAGGATGTCTGTCTTTTGTATTTTCTGGTAAAAATCTATCAGGATCAAATTTTTCAGGATCTGGATAGAATTCAGGATTGTGATGTAAATCATAAATTTGTAAGTAGACGAACGTATCTTTAGGTATTCTATAACCCGTTGCGGTAATTAATTCTTCTCCGAGTTTCCTACCAATGAGGGCGACGCTTGGATACAGTCTTAAAACTTCTTTTAAAACCCGCTCTAAATATTTCATTTGTTGAAGATCATTAAATGTTGGCGCTTTGTTTAACGCTCCTGTTACAGCTTCGATTTCTTCAACGATTAAATCCTAAAAACGCATTTGATACAAAAGTGTGATTTTTAATTTTTTTAAAACTTGGGAAAAATTACTTGGACATTTTTGTTGCACGCTATAAGCATCAGCGCAAAACTTAAAGCAGTGGCTGTGGTGTCGTGACCTTCGAACATAAAGGTGTCTACTTCTTCACATATTCCTTTCTCATCGATAGTTTTTTCTTCGTTTTTGGTCTTTAAAAGCAAATCCAACATAGCCATCCGTTTTCTTCCCTTGTAAACTTCATGATCATCAGGGTCATCGTTGAGTTTTTCAGTTATTTGTTCCCGATCCGCTATAATACTCCGAGTGAAATTATGTAAGGTTTTAATGAGCTTCTTCTCTTTAAAATAGTTTGGACTAAATAAATTTACAAAGCCGTTTATAAACCAAGAATTTAACATTCTGTACGCTGCGATTTGTCCCATGTCTATAATTGCCTGTCTGTATTCTATTTCCTCTTTTTTGATAAACTTCAATTTTGTTCCCATTGCAGTTTCTGTAATTCAACAATTAAAATAAAGGATAGTAAATCAAATCTTACCTGCTACGGTTTTCAGTGTAAACTGAGCAACGTGGCTGTCAACCGAAATGTAAGCTTGGTCCAGCAACTTTCCAAAATTTTTCACTAAATCATCTGTATGCTTATTAAATATTTCAACGAATTGCTGCAAAATGCTAAAATGAAACGCCGGAGTTAAAATTTTTCTTCGGTTGAGCCACTTTTGTCCTAAATTTTGATAAGAGTTACTTAATTCAAGTCATTTTCTTTACTTACCAGTACTCGTGAGTAAACCAGTACCTAACCAACCATGAAGAACGTTATAAACATCACTTTTTTCAATGTGTTTGGGATTGGAAAGTATGAGCTATAAAAAAAAATGCTTTACTTTTAACAGTTGTTTATATTACCTCAAAATCATCTGGATGTAACATAATCGGGGAAATGTAGTTAAGTATAGTGACAGTATAAATTGGATAGTATAGTTTTGCCCATTTTCGCAACGTCTTAAACGAAACATCTACAAATTCCTTTTAGTTGAAATGTTAAATAAAACCACAACATATACCTAGTGATGTTTGTAAGTGAGCAATGCTGCCACCAAGGTTATTTTTAGCTTCTGGTCCAGGAATTATTTTCAATTGTTTCCGGTTTTTTAACAGATTTTTAATTTTTAACACAAAGCAGATGATTACAGTAAGTAAGACAAAATATAACACTGCGTTTAATACAAACATTATTACTGAATTAAATTAAGTGCTTCTAAATATTTTATACAGATTATATAGAAAAACATCTTATCTTGTGAAAATAACAACAACGCAATAATTAAATTTAACTGTCTCATTATATTTTTGTTAAACATGTGTAAATAGTTGCATAAGAAACGAACTGATAATTACTTATCAACGAAAGAGTGTTGACAACATTCCTTTATAACTACTACTATTCTTGACAAAATTTGATGCTAATATCAATTTAACAATGTTTAGTCAATTATAGCAAAAAAAATTATATAGAACATTTGTTAGAAATTAACGAGTAAATTTTTCAAATTGAATGCCATTTTTTATAATACAACAAAATACGAGTCCAATTTTTATTTAAAACCTAGGAACAAATTTCACTTTGATCTTGTCTTTAGTTCTAATCACAATATCCACCAAAAGAGTTATCGTATCGGGAGTGTCCACCGGTTCTAGAACATATTTGGACAATATTCCACACAAAGCCGCTTTAAGTTCCAACATGGCAAACTTCTGTCCGATACAGTTCCTAGGTCCAGCACTAAAAGGTAAATAAGCAAAAGGATGTCTGTTTTTTGTATTCTCTGGTAAGAATCTGTCAGGATCAAACTTTTCAGGATCTGGAAAGAATTCAGGATTGTGATGCAAATCGTAAATATGTAGGTGGACAATTGTGTTTTTAGGTAACTTGTATCCACTAGCAGTAACTAATTCTTCTCCCAGTTTTCTAGAAATTAGGGAAACACTTGGATACAACCTCAAAACTTCCTTCAAAACTCGTTCTAAGTATTTCATTTGTTGAAGATCATTTAAGGTTGGTTTTTTAGCTAAATCTCCTAGTACAGCTTCAATTTCTTCAACGATTAAATCCTAGAAAAAATGTTTGATACAAACGCTGATTCATTAAGATTTTGAATTTTAGGTCACAAATAGCTATTTGGGGAAAATTACTTGAACATTTTTGTGACACGCTATAAGCATCAACGAAAAGCTTAAAGCGGAGGCAGTGGTATCGTGACCTTCAAACATAAAGGTATCCACTTCTTCACATATTCCTTTATCATCGATACCTTTTTCTTCCTTTTTAGCCGCCAAAAGCAAGTCCAGCATAGCCAATCGTTTTCTCCCCTTGTAAACTTCATGATTATCAGGAGTGTAGGGGAGTTTTTCAATTGCTTGTGTCCGCTTTGCTATGATATTCCTTGTGACATTATGTAAGGTTTTAATGGCCTTCTTCTCTTCCAAATATTTCGGACTAAATAAATTTAGGAAGCTGTTTACAAACCAAGAATTGAACATTCTGAAAGCTGCTATTTGTGCCACGTCTATATTTGCCTGTCTGTACTCTTTTTCTTTTTGGTGGATAAATTCCATTTTTGTTCCCATTGCAGTTTCTGTAATTCAGTCATTAAAAAAAGCATACCAGATGGAATTTTACCTGCTATGGTTTTCAGTGTAAACTGTGCAATATAGTTATCAACCGAAATGTAAACTTGGTCACACAATTGGCCAAAAGTTTTCACTAAATCATCTATCTGGTTATTAAATATTTCAACGAACTGCTGCAAAATACTAAAATGAAACGCTGGAGTCAAAATTCTTCTCCTAGTCAGCCACTTTTGACCTGAATTTTGATAACAATTACTTAACTCAAGACAGTTTTTCAAACATTTACGTACCATTGCTCGTGAGAAGTCCATTACCTAACTAACCATGAAGAACATTATAAACATCACTTTTTTCCATATGTTTGGGATTGGAAAGTACGAGCTATAAGAGGAAAACGCCATTGATTCATTTGGAATAAGTTTTTTTGTTACCTCAAAATCATCTGGGTGTAACATAGACGGAACGATGAGGTGAAGTATAGTCAGAATATAAATAGGATAATACTGTTTTGCCCATTCTCGTAAGGTTTTGAATGTAGCGTCTAAAACATTTCGTTCAATTGGTAAAAAATAAAAGAAAATGTTTACCTAGTGACGTCTGTAAGTGTGCACAGTTCCCACCAATGAAATTTTTCTCTTCTGGACTTGGAATTCGTTTCAGTTCACTACGATTTTTTAGTACGCTTTTGATTTTTACCAAAAAATACAAGGTTGTAATAAACAAAAATAGACAAAACGTTACAGTGAAGCCGGGCATGTTTCAAATGCGAACCAGTTTTCTGTCTATTTTTATTTAGCAAGTCAAATTAGATTAAAATATTTTGCTATCAATTATCATGCAAATTACAAACAACTTGGATGAGAGAGGTCCGCAAAAACCGGCTTCAGCTTCATTTATTTTAAGTAATACGGTGACACTGTAAATGATTAAATAAAAAATTGGTCTAAAATTATTTCCACAAGACTTCCCTCGCCACCGAAGTGCAGTGCAACAAATCCCGCTTCTTTGAAAAATTGAAAAAATTTATTTCGTGATAACCTCTATGCATTAAAATAAATATAGATAAGTAATACCAGTAACCGCCTAAGAAGGTAAATGACCTCATATAAACATATGTATAATTTTTTTTTGACACACTATACATTTTCTAGACATCTTGTAGAGGTTGTTTTTCACAAAATGTGTGGGGTTATCCTCCATAACTATAAAAAAGGAGCAAAAAAAGACATACACAATTACAGACCTACTGTTTTGACGTCTGTTTTCTCAAAAATTTTGGAATATTGCATATTAGATAAATTAAATAAATATCTCAATACCTTCGACATATTAAGTACTTCTCAACATGGCTTCCGAGTAAACTTTTCAATAACAAACACTGCGTTAAATGCATACTACAACAAAATAGTTTCCTATCTTAATAATGGCAAATGCTCCACTGGGATATTTTGTGATCTCAGCAGAGCATTTGATTGCGTAAATCATACCATACTATTGTCTAAATTAGAATCATACGGAATTCGTGGAAATGTACTCATGTGGTTTTATTCGTATCTTACCAGTAGGTATCAATACGTGGAAATCTCGAAATGTATTAATAAAGGAAATCATAAATTCGTTTCATCGAAAAAGCCAGTGGTTCGTGGAGTACCTCAAGGGTCAATCCTGGGGCCAGTGTTATTCAGCCTTTTTATCAATGACCTTCCTTTATTGGCCGATAATACAGGCTGCACTCTAGTTTTATATGCTGATGACACTTCTATCCTAATGCCCAGTGATAACATGCAGAACACCATCTTTTTAGAAAACATATCAAAATGGTTTGCTTTTAACGGTCTTTTATTAAATGATAAAACTAAATGCATTTATTTTCACACAGCTCAAAAAAAAGTTGCCAAGACAGCTCTTAACATAGGTACCCAGCACTTAGAACCTGTAAATAACGCAAAAATTTTAGGAATATGTATTGAAGAAGTTTTGAATTGGAATATGCATTGTACACAAGTTATCAAAAAAATTAATATAGTATGTTATCAAATACGAACGTTAAAATACATTGTCAACTTACACGTCTTACTAAATTTTTATTATGCGCATGTACGAGGTAAGCGCCAAATATTCTCGGCCTGATATATTTGCGATTGCTCATCGGGAAATTTGTACAACTCAAAGGAGACTAGAGGGTCCCCGCAGTATGTGTGTAAAATTTCAAGCCCTACTGCCCATTAGTTTTGATACATCTTTGAAAAATTATGGACTCATCATGCCTGTTTAAAATTGAAAATCGAACGGCAATAAAATTCTTAGCAAAAGATGGAATTGCTCTAAAGGGTATTAAGGGCAGGATGGTTTTTGTGTTTGCTGAAGCTTGTCCTTCACATTTTACTAAAAAAAATGATTACAGTTATTTCGCATGGGGTAAGAAACCCTTGAAGACGAATCAATCTTCCAAAAAAATCATGGCCACAATTTTTTGGGACTGTAAAGGCATGTTGTTGATTAATTTTAAAGGATGAAATATCACTGTCAACGTTACATATTATGGTTACTTATTGCATAAATTAGGAGAACGTATTTGGGAAAAAAGGCCGAGAAAATTAGCAAGAGGCGTTCGATTACTTCATGACAATGCGCCCGTTCATACCGCATGTCTTTCTCAAGCTGCTATAGGGGCTTGTGACTTCGAGTAACTTGAGCACCCACCCTACAGTACTGACTTAGCTTCGAACGATTATTAACTGTTCTCTAAGTTAAAAAACGACTTGCAGGGAAAACGTTTGGGACGGATAAAGAAGTGCAAACGGCAGTACTACATCATTTTAGTGATAAAGATTCAAATAATTTTTTTAAACGGATAGAGCTGTTAGTTGAACGTAGTTTTGAATGTATTGAAGTTAACAGAGACTATGTTGAAATATAAATATTTAATTTTTTTCCATCAGGTCTCTTTCTTTGTTAGGCCGAGAATATTTGGCGCTTACCTCGTACATTCGCGCCTTAGTTATGGCATTTCACTATGGGGTTCTTCGCCTGCGGATAATGAAGTTTTCAAAGCCCAAAAACGTATTATTCGTAATATAGTGTCTATTGGTTCTGCGTGTTCTTGTAAACCGCATTTTAAAAAACTAAAAATACTAACATTACCCTCAGTTTATATTCTAACTCTTTTGGTTTACACATTCCAAAACCGTAATAAATTTACCTTAAATAAAAACATCCATGAACACAATACTAGAAATACTCGAATTTATTTAGCTAAACCTAATTTGGAATTATATAGACGCTCTCCCAACTATCTTGGGCCTAAACTTTTTAATGCTTTGCCGGATGATGTTAAATCTATCAATAATGTTAAGAAGTTTTGTAGGACTGTAAAAACTTTATTACTCAAAAAAGCATGTTACAGCGTAGATGATTTTCTGTTGTAAATGTTATTGTAATTGCCATGATCATGTCAATATACATGTATGAATGTAGTTATTTTATATACTTGTTTATTGTTTGTTAATTCTGATGTGTCATATACAAAAATGTATTTTTTGTCTTTTGACTAAAATAAACTTATACTTATACTTATAACCGGTCGGACATTTTTAAGAGCTATGGGAGTTCCTTTTGTTAATATGCGATCTTATCACATAACTCTATTAATTCTAATTTCTGAAAATATTTTTCTCTAGTTAAAAATTCTGCTTCTGTGTCAAAACATACCTGGACCTGTATAGATTTGATTCAGTCTTAAATAAAGACGTAGTCTTACTGACTTTTGTCGAAATATGTAATAGGCAATTTTGGAAAAATATTTATTGATTCACCTAATATCAGTGCACTACGCTTTCTCTTCTCATTCAAGCTCTGCGTAGAGTTGGACTTTAGAGCGAGAAGTAGAATGCACTATTCTATTTATATTTTATAATAAATGTAATGTAAGCCTTCAAATAATTTGCGAATGTCTGGACTAGATTTCTGTTTTCAAATGACACTAGCTTATATTTTAATAAGCACGAGTAAAAGTAAAAATGTTGTGGGTGCTGGCAAGTCCCACAAAATTGTATAATATTTGTATATTTGTATATTTGTATATAATCTGTTTCATTACTTCCAACCAGTATCACCCCGAAGCTTTCTCTTCGTCCATCTGCATGTCGTACAACCTATCTTTTGTTCACCCTTCTCAGTAATTCTTATCCTTTCCAAGATTTCGAATACCTTACAAGAATCCTTTTGACACAACCGTTTTCACCGCTTTCTACCGACCTGTCCTTTCATTTCAAAATCACAAACTCCAAGACTCTTCCCTCATCTGCTAAACCGACAACATCTAAATAAATACGTCAAAACGCAAGTGCTGTTTTAATCACCGGATCACCTCACAATGTACATATAAATTGCTTATATTAAACTTCCACTAAAAAATTTCCAGGCAATCGCAAGCATCCGATTGTTAATAAGAATGTAAGACGTCAGAATGTTTACAACGTTGTATTCCAAATTTTCAACAGATTTATAAAATCTTTCAAAATATTTTCACTGCTTAATAGGACAACGAAATAACTGTGAACTTTTATAAGATATTTGTATTTAAAATCTCGCCACAAATTTCACTTTGATTTCGTCCTTAGTTCTTAGTACAACATCCATTACAAGAGTTATCGTGTCAGGAGTATCGACCGGTTCTAGAACATATTTAGACAATATTCCATACAAAGCCGCTTTAAGTTCCAAGATAGCAAACTTCTGTCCAATACAGTTCCTAGTTCCAGCACTAAAAGGTAAATAAGCAAAAGGATGTCTGTTTTTGGTAGTTTCTGGTAAGAATCTGTCAGGATCAAACTTTTCAGGATCTGGATAGAATTCAGGATTGCGATGCAAGTCGTAAATATGTAAGTGGACGAACGTATCTTTAGGGATCTTATATCCCGTAGCAGTAACTAATTCTTCTCCGAGTTTTCTAGAAATCACGGCAACACTTGGATACAACCTCAAAACCTCCTTTAAAACTCGTTCTAAATATTTCATTTGTTGAAGATCATCGAAAGTTGGATTTTTACTTATCCCTCCTGATACAGTCTCAATTTCTTCAACTATTAAATCCTACAAAAAAGTAGATGTACGAAATTTGAATCACTAAATTTTTTAATCTTAGAGTTTTAAGATCACAAAAAGCTACTTGGGAAAAATTACTTGCACATTTTTGTGACAAGCTATAAGCATCAGCGAAAAGCTTAAAGCTGCGGCAGTGGTATCGTGACCTTCGAACATGAAAGTATCTACTTCTTCACATATTCCTCTATCATCGATACTGTTTTCTTCGTTCTTAGCCGTTAAAAGCAAATCCAACATAGCCAATCGTTTCTTTCCCTTGTAAACTTCATGATTATCAGGACTATAGCGGAGTTTTTCAATTTCCTGTGTCCGTTCTGCTATGATATGCCGAGTGAAATTTTGCAAGGTTTTAATGGCCTTCTTCCCTTTCAAATAATTCGGACTAAATAAATTAATAAAGCTATTTAGAAACCAAGTATATAATAATCTATAGGCTGCTATTTGCCCCATGACTATAATTGCCTGTCTGTACTCTATTTCTTTTTGTTTGATAAATTTTAATTTTGTTCCCATTGCAGTTTCTGTAATTCAACTATTTAAAAGAACAGCATACACCAGAGGGACTTTTACCTGCTATGGTTTTCAGTGTAAACTCTGCAATGTAGTTGTCAATTGAAACGTGCATTTGAAGACACAATTCGCCAAAAGTTTTCACTAAATCGTCTGTTTGCTTATTAAATATTTCAACGAATTGCTGCAAAATGCTAAAATGAAACGCTGGTGTTAAAATTCTTCTTCTGTTCTGCCACTTTTGACCTAAATTTTAATAACATTACTCAACTGAAATCAACTAATTCAGAGCGTATATTTACCGGTACTTGTGAGGAGGCCAGTACCTAGCCAACCATGGAAAACGTTATAAGCAGCGCTTTTTTCCATATGTTTTGGATTGGAAAGTATGAGCTGAAGGAATAAAACGACGTGGCTTTGTATTAGACAATTTTGGTCGTTACCTCAAAATCGTCTGGATGTAATATACATGGAACAATGACGTGAAGCATAGTAATTGTATAAATTGGATAGTACGATTTTGCCCATTCTCGAAAGGTTTTGAACGAAGCATCTAGAACATTTTGGTCAGTTAATATGAAAGCAAAGAAAATGTTTACCTAATGACGTCTGTAAGTGAGCAACATTCCCAATAATGAAGTTTTTATCTTCTGGTCTAGGAATTCGTTTTAGTTCACTGCGATTTTTTAGTACACTTTTGATTTTTAGTAGAAGAGAAAATATTGTAATGAACAAGAATAGACATATTGTTACAATTAGAACGGACATGTTTCACATGGAAGTCAATTTTTTGCGTGTATTTATATAGCAAATCAAAGTTCAAGTACATTAAATGTACTTTGTTGCCATGCAAATCGTAAATAAAATATCAGAAGAGGAGAGGTCAGAAAAAAAAATTCAGTTTGTTGTTTGTCACTTAAAATTATTGATAAATCTATAGGAAAAGTGAATGTTAATTCTCCGAACAGTGATTATTATGGAGTCACTTTTTAATCATTCCGATCCGTGCTTAATCAAATTTCTAGGAAAGTGTAAACAAAAACAAAATAATCCAGATGATTTTTAATCTCTTGTTAGAGTATTTCTTCGAATGAAATATTGGACCCTTGCATTTGAACTTTTTCAATAGTGTCTAGTAAAAATGAGTAAATAAAAATAGTTCTAGAGTCCTAATTCATTTCTCTCGAGGAAACTAAGTACATTAGTAGAATCCGCTTGGTGAATGTAATTTCACATTTTCTCAACGTCCCATATCTTTTACAATTTAAAAAATTATACCTAAGTTTATTAGACAGATAATCTCGGAATTTCAGAACTTTATAATATAGTTTTGTAAAAATATTTATTTATCTACATAAACTTAGTGCCCGAAATTTTCTCTTCTCTATTAAAAGTGTACGCATGACGGATTTTTACAGGGAGAAACAGAATGCATTCTCTTTTTCTGTTGGATAAAAAAAACATAGAGTTAAGTGAATCTTCAAGTGTTTGACGAGGTTCAAATTAAGATTTCAGTTTTTACTTCCCGAGCGTAAGCAAAGGAAGCATTGTAATCGAGTCCGTCGGCCGACTCTTTACTTTTGCATTTTCTCGACCTATCATGACCCCTAGAGAACGACGAAATAGCCATCCCATTTTCTGGAAAATGTGAGTATACGCTCGTCTTTATAACATAAAAGAATGATAAGGTAAAAATTATAATAATAACATTCAGAATCTTTTGTTCAATAGAGGCTTATGAATAATTTCAGTCATTTGTTTTGGGGCGATAAACTCATTTAAATCAAACAAATGTCTACGTGACATTCTTCCGATGTAATGTATTCCCGTTGATAAAGTGCTGTAAATAATATTTTTGCACTCATAACCTTTTTTGATGACCTTGGCGAATTCAACAGCATGCGGGACGTCGAACATCACGCACGGATGCATTTTGCTATGCTTTGCCACGGTAGCCTAGCCCGGAAATGTCAAATTTCTAATAATTTTATTTTCAACGAGACCGACACTTGAAAATTATTAAAAATATTATTATTATTTTATGTTGTGGATGTGGATTTTAAAATCATCAGCTGACGTTCAGTTAACGTTAGTTTTCTCATCATTTTCTTCGCGATGCGTAACATCGGTTGCGAGCATAAATTTCAACCGCCCACCCCTATTTTTTTAGTATTACACTACATCTATCCAAACTGATATACATCTATAGGCATGCCGTCGTCACGTTTCCGACAGCGAGCGAAGTACTGTCTAAACTGTTTAGACCAATTTTTTTTAAACGGTAGTAGATTATATTTTAATGAGCACGACTAAAAGCAAAAATTTAGACAAATTTGTGGTTCTAAAAAATTTTCAGAAAATCTCTAGCACATAACTAAGATCAGAAAATGTTTACATTGTTATATTCCCAGTGTTTCCGTTTGTGTAAATATAGACAATATTTTCCCCGTTTAATTTTATATTATGTAGATAAAAATAAACAACTTTTAAATTTTAGAAATTATTTTTATTTAAAATCTCGGTACAAATTTCACTTTGATCTCGTCTTGAGTTCTTAGCATAACATCTAATATAAGAGTTATCGTGTCAGGTGTATCCACTGGTTCTAGAATATACTTAGACAATATTCCACACAATGCCGCTTTAAGTTCCAACATGGCAAACTTCTGTCCAATACAGTTCCTAGGTCCCGCGCTAAAAGGTAAATAAGCGAAAGGATGTCTGTTTTGTGAATTCTCTGGTAAGAATCTGTCAGGATCAAACTTTTCCGGATCTGGATAGAGTTCGGGATTGTGATGCAAATCGTAAATGTGCAAGTGGACAATCGTGTCTTTAGGTATCTTATATCCAGTAGCAGTAACTAATTCTTCTCCGATTTTTCTAGAAATGAAGGAGACACTTGGGTACAACCTCAAAACTTCCTTTAAAACTCGTTCTAAATATTTCATTTGTTGAAGATCGTTAAAGTTTGGTTTTTTACATAACTCTCCTGTTACAGCCTCAATTTCCTCAACGATTAAATCCTAAAAAAAAAAACCTTTGATACAAAGCGTACTTCATTATAATTTTGAGTTTAGGTTCAGAAATAACTATTTGGGAAAAATTACTTGGACATTTTTGTGGCACGCTATAAGCATCAACGAAAAAGTTAAAGCTGCGGTAGTGGTATCGTGACCTTCGAACATAAAGGTATCTACTTCTTCACATATTCCTTGATCATCGATACTATTTTCTTCGTTTTTAGCCGTTATAAGCAAATCCAACATAGCCAATCGTTTTCTTCCCTTGTAAACTTCATGATTATCATGAGTATTGTCGGGTTTTTCAAATGCCTGAGTCCGTTCTGCTATGATATTCCGAGTGAAATTATGTAAGGTTTTAATGGCATTTTTCTCTTTCCAGTATTTTGGACTAAATAAATTTATAAAGCTGTACACAAACCAAGTGTGTAATATTCTATAAGATGCTATATGTCCCATGTCTATAATTGACTGTCTGTATTCTATCTCTTTTTGTTCAATAAATTTCAGTTTTGTTCCCATTGCAGTTTCTGTAATTCAACCATTTAAATACACAGCATACCAGAAGAAATTTTACCTGCTATGGTTTTCAGTGTAAACTGTGCAATGTAGTTATCAACTGAAATGTAAACTTGGTGACACAATTCGCCAAAAGTTGTCACTAAATCATCTGTCTGCCTGTTAAATATTTCAACGAATTGCTGCAAAATGCTAAAATGAAACGCTGGAGTTAAAATTCTTCTTCTGTTCAGCCACTTTTCTCCAGTACTTGTAAGGAGACCAGTACCTAACCATCCATGGAAAACGTTATAAATATCACTTTTTTCCATATGTTTGGGATTGGAAAGTATGAGCTATAAAAAAAAATGTTGCTTCATGTTGCACAATTTGGTCTTTACCTCAAAATCATCTGGGTGTAATATACACGGAACAACGAAGTGAAGTGCGGTCATAGCATAAATTTGATGGTACAATTTTGCCCAGTCTCGAAATATTTTGAACGCAACATCTAGAACATTAAAATGAGTTATAATGAAATAAAATAAAATATGTAAGTACCTCGTGACGTCTGTAAATGTGCACAGCTGCCACCAATGAAATTTTTATCTTCTGGGCTTGGAATTCGTTTTAATTCACTACGATTTTTCAGAAAGCTCTTAATTTTTACGAAGAAGTAAAGTATGGTAATAAGCAAGAATAGACATAACATTTCAGTTACGCAGGACATGTTGCAAGTCAGATTTGTGAACATTTTTATATTGCGAGTCAAAATATATAAAATACACTTTGTTATCATACGAATCCCAATCAACATGTAGAAAAATGTTAAGAAGGTCAGCAAAAATGGCTTCAATTTGTTTTTATCACTTAAACTAAATGATTAAATAAAAAATTAATGCTGATTATGAGACACTGCAGTAGTAATAAATTCCCATTTTAAACCATTCGATTCGTGTTTAATTAAATTTATAAAATACTGTAAACATGAAAATAAAGGAATGCTAGATTACATTATCACAATTACGACATATTTACTTCTACCTTTATCTTTTTTAAAATATTTTGTTCGAACAAAATCCTGAATATAGTTTGTAAATATTATTTTTCTGAAATCGTCATGGAAACAACAATTCCCTGCTCATTTAAGGGCAGGTAAATTAGATTTCCCGGACAATACAGGTAAAGGCTTTAGACACTTTTATCTGATTCTGAGACTATACTTCCTTTCTGTCGCTACCGCTCACGAAACCCTCCTAGGAACTCATTTTTTGCCTCAGAGTACCCCAGGTGTTCCTTCTTCGGAAAGGAAGCAGGCGCCCGAGCAGACATTTACGCAATGTAAGACACGCACCAAACTCACATCATTTTAAATTTTTTACTGCATTTGATATTTGCTTTTTGTGTCTATTTCATATGTGATTTGTTAGTGTTATGTGGAAATTTCTGAGCTGGTTACGATGCAGATTTGACGAACTTCATCTTGATTTGATTCATAATTTGAATTTGTGCATAATTTTACCTCATGTAAATTTTTTGTTGTCTAAAATTGTTGATAGTGTGCGGCGTAAATAAATGTTAACTTCTATGGGAGACCCGCATCCGCGTGGGGCCCGCAGCTCGGTTAAAATAGATTACTAGTTTGCGAAGACCGGGTGGAGAGTATAATATGCGGCAGGCTTTTTGGGCATGGAAATATGGTTGCGTGTTATACCTGTCAATGCATTAAAATCTTCGTTACAACATTTTCGATGGCTCGTTTACAGACTGCCATAATTTAAATTTGGTGCCACACCATCGCAATGAATTATTGTGCAGTACCATCCAGTTACGTTATGTAATTTTTCTTTTTTTCAGCTAATTCGCAGTTTTTTGCTCCCCAGATTGGAAGAATAAATAATTTGTGTCTTTCATGTGTTGTGTTTAATTTAGGGGCACTTTTCTAACCTTGTTAACGATGACAAAACTGTTCACATCTTTAATTTTAGCGAATGATTGCTAATGAGAAAATTAGATCACAAGGCTCAAATTTATATAAATTTGAAAAATATATTCAGGGCTTAATTATACTTTGTCAATTTTTACTTATACTGTTTCTATATTGTCACGGAACTGCTAGTTGCCCTAGTTATGTAAAGATTGCCTCATGCCATGCTTGTAGGATGTCAGCAAAAACCTCTTTTTGCTGGCATTACGGAAGCTTAGGTGGGGGCAGTGCGGACTGACGAAAGGGGCAGTCGGTACTAACTAGGGACAGGGGGAAGGAAAAAGTGAGGGAAGTGAAGTGACGCACCGTACCCCCTAAGGATGGAATTTGTAATGTAAGTTGAAATATATTTAGTTTATTTAATGTATTTGGGATTTTTATTCTTAACGTCGGATCGGGTAATTATCCTTAGCTCTACCAATCTCTCCCCCGACCCGGTCGTGACATATGGTGGAGGCGCCAAAAATTTCGCGCATATAGTGTTTTTTAAATCTTAAGAAAAAACAAAATCTTATTTTATGAATAATAAAAAACCCGCGGATCCAAAAACCCGTCAGCAATACAAAATCCGTATAGAAAAAGAGTACGGTTCGTTTCAACCAAAAAGCAGAAGTTCTGATATTCACGGAGTCGTTAAATTAGGGGGATGCGGTTGTGACACTTCAGAAACAGATCCGGAACCACTTGTGCTTAGTCCAATCCCCATCGAATTACCAGAAACCAACCTAAAGCAGTTAACATTGTCCGCACCAACTTCACAAAATTCTGAAACAGTAGACCAAACGTTCGATAAAATACCGGGAACAATCCCCAACAAATCGCCTCACTTCACTGAGCAAAACATCAGAGAAACAAACGACCCATCTAACGAAAAAATGGCCAACGTTACAATCACCGAGGCATTCACAAGCCAAAAACATCCATCGATCCCGAGCTTCATTAGTCCAGAAATTTTTGATCCAAAACGTGACGACCCACAGCGGTTTATCCAGAATTATGAGCGGGCAGCAGTGGCCAACGCGTGGAATGACAACTTGAAGATTTCATATTTCGGCTCATTTTTGTCAGGAATAGCGAACAGATGGTACGAAAATTTTGTTACGAATAATGCTACAAAAACCTGGACAGATGTGAAGAAAGAATTCCTAAAAGAATACAGAATGTCGGACTATTCGGAAGACAAGGAAAGAAAATTTGAAAACCGCAGACAGACCCGAGAAGAGTCAGTAAGAGAATACTTTTTTGATTTATCCTTCCTAGCGTATGAACTGGACCCATTAATGGAGGACGAAAAATTTATCAAACAATTCGAGAGAGGCATGCAAGATAAATATTTTAGCAACTACAAGATTCTAAAACCAGATGACGTTACCGTACCAGAACTTAAATCAATTATTGCGAAACTTGACGCTATAGAACAGCGAACAAAAGAAAGCCAAGGGTACTTTCATGACCGACAGGAAGTTGAAGAAGCGAATAAGTATACGAAATTTACCACAAACTCTAGGAAATTTGATAGTAGGCCACCACACTTAAATGGAGGCAATTTCAAGAAAAATGTACCAAACACCCGCAGCTCTAACGGACGACCAAGGTGCTACCATTGCGGAAGAATTGGACATTTTGCAGGCGCATGTTGGCACAATACAAGTGGCAACAATTACAAACAGGATCACCACCCAAACGCCAAGGGACGACGAAACTAAACCTCCCAGTCGTCCTTACGCAAAAAGGGAGAAGCAGCGGCACTTCAACCCTCAACAAACCCCCGCGTCTGCTAACCCTAAATGTACAAGTTAACAAACAACATCTTACCGCAATTGTAGATACAGGCGCCGCAACAAATGTTGTTGTCAGCAAAATAATACCGACAAACGAAATTCGCAAGCAGCAGCAATTGTCTTTTTTATTAGCGGCGGGCAACGCGAAAGTTCCTATCTTAGGTACAACCTCCCTGACTTTAAGGGTAATGAATCATACAAAAAACATTTCAGCATACGTCGTGGAGAATTTACCCTATCCAATTATCTTAGGCATGGAATTTTTATGCAACGAGAAATCTATCATTAATTTACAAGATAACACGATTATGCTGACAGGTAAAGTTTTCGAACTGAATAAATCGTTTCATGTTTCACAACATACAAGCTATACGCAACGTAGGTCAGTTAAGGGGTACAACAACACCTTAGTCGACATTCCTAAAATGACTTATTATAAACAATGCGTTGATGACATATCGCAAACATTACGTGCAATCATAAAACGGAATAATAACACGGAAATGACACAAATTCGACAGAAAGAAACTCTGACGCAAGTCAACACTATACATGATTCACTTCGCGACCACAAATTACTGACACGGCAAGACCTAGACCTTCAAGAACAAGACACATACGAAACCTTCGCAAAAGCGAATTTTGACATTTTTGACACCATCACTAGTTGCAACATCTCCACCATGAAAGCCCAAAACAGTTACCCTTGTGTCACATGGTTGTTCAATGAACAAAATAAATTAAACATACGCAAAATATATTCCACTGATAATAAATTAAATTTTACTCTTAATGTGGCAAGTAACTATCAAATGATATGGCACGTTCTAAAAGAACTAAAACAAATAGTAACGAGGAAGAATATTACACACATGTATTTACAAAAACCAGCTGTGAATAATACCCAAATTAAAGTTGCCGAAATCATCCGTATGATTTATTACATTTTCAAAGACACACCTATTAATATTTATATTTTTGAAAATTCAATTTCCACTTCAGAAATAAATTCACAAGATTACAACACTGTAACTGTACACCAGAGATATCTGTTTTACAAACAGATATCTCTTAACTAATACAATGCATAAAACGTACATAGCCACAAATTATCCATTTTGCAAACACAACCCTATAAAATATACAATCATATTAGACTTCACTCCTACTTTACTACAATAACAAAGATACCCAACGATACAAAATTACATTCTTCTGGTCGACATACCCAGGAAGACCCTACCAACATTTTACACACTTGAATAAGACAAAAATTGATTTAAGGTATTTATCTTTTGAAGCAACTATTTTAAAATCTCTCGCGACAAGCGGCACTCTCTTACTAATTGCAGCAGTTGATGAGCGCTATTTTAACGTCCCTGCTTACTGGCCGAAGTCCCGTTCACCACCATTTCCTTTTTGGCAAAACTCAACCACTATGAGTCCAGTCTTGTTAACTGGAGTCTTCTTTAAGGAGAACTCGTCGTCGTAGAAGCTTGGTTCTCGAACGAGGGCGTCGTATGCGAGAGTGATGTCAGGGCCTTTTTTTTTTTTTTTTTTTTTTTTCCCATGCTGGTTCTGTCTCGAGCAAGAACGCCTTATGTATGGTAGGTGTCTCCCGTTGCCAGACCCGGTTCCAGAACATAAAAAAAAAAGTTCATTCATTAGAATTACCTTATACTCCTACAAAATAGATAAAGCGAAGCCAGTACACAATATCTAAATAACTTTCTAAATCTATGTTCAATCTCCTATCTGAAAATATCAAAACGCTAAGTCAAAATTCTGTGGAATTTAAAAAATATACAGATCAGGTCGGGGAGGCTTTTAAATCCACGGAGAGGAGGATTAAAGAAATGGAAAAAGCCATCACAAATTTTAGGAACAAGACGAGGGAATGGGAAGGATTTTTCGGTACTTTAATAGAAAATCAATTTCAGAATACTAGACGTATCGTAACAATGTGGCGCGCGTTGGAACAAAGGGACGTAA